GCGTATGATGTCTTCCAATTGTTCTCTGAGGGGAGCAAAGGGGTTTTCTGCCTTTCTGTGATCTGGTAATGCTGGATCTGATGTTTGTTCCTTTCTTTTGCTCTCATCTGTTTCTGGAATGCTTCAGTCAGCCCCAAGGTAATGCTGGTTGGCTGACTGAGCAGTGCAGCTCTGGAAATGCCTGGAGCTGATACACCTTTCCTTAAAGAGATTCTGTGTTCTCCAAGTTTCCTTTGCAAATCTTTTTAAGCTCAATACCTTCTTGTGAAGTCTCTGTTTCCTCTTTCATGAGTCTCACTGCATAATCTCCAACCTGAGAATCCAAACTTGGTTTGTCTGCTGCCACATTGTCCCAACGCATTTTATGACGCGTCCCTCTGTATCCCCCTCCTCATTCCTGCTGTGTCCTTGTGTCCCACTTGTGTCTTTGTGTCCTCTCTGTGTCCTCTCCCCATGTCCCCTCAGCATCTCCTGTGCCACGTATTCATTCCACCCATGCACCCAGCTTTAAAGCTTCAAGTTGTGTAAGTAAGGCAATTAAAAAACTGGCAAGCTTGCTTTTTGTTTTACCTAAGTGATCTTTTAGCAAGGAAAGGTTGGAGATGTTTCTTGCTAATGGGAGATGGAGAGAGGAGAAGCAAGTGAAAGGCATGCTGTGCACAGCCAGCACACAGCACCTGCACCATTGCCCCCTGCGCAAAGGAGGAGCAGCTCAGCAAGCTTGGCCTGGGCCATGGAAGGGAGCGTACAGAGGTCTGGAGCAGCCCCAAACGGGCTGGTTCTGCAGGTTGGTTGTCTTCTGCTGCTTGTCTCACATCCTGTTGCTCGGGGGTAGATGCGTTCATGTTCAGAGCTAGCAGGAAGCTCGCACAGCCCTTTGTTGCAGCTGTCCCAACGCTTTGGTCCCTTGCTGCTGGGATGGGGCGTTTGAGGAGTGATGCCTGTGCTGTTGTCCAGCCAAGCTTTGGGGATGAGTCTCGTTACCAGGGCATGTCTGACAGGGCTGAGGGTGGGGGACCGGGCCAGTGGCGCTTTGCTCTCGGTCTCGTTGTTTGTCTTTGCTCAGGAGGGCAGGTGGTGAACCTCACGAGCCAAAGCCTGCAGATGGGGTTTGCGGAGAAAGAGGTCCTGCAGGCCTTGTGTGGCAGCCACAGAGCTGGAGCGAGGCTGCGTCAGTGTAAAAGCCCAGCAATGCACGGAGGTGTGAAGGTGAGCTGTGGGCTCCAGTAACACAGGAGAGGATGTGCATGCTGGGGGCTTGGATGCTGCTGTGTGTTTGCAGTGACTGTGACTGGTAGTTAGCACTGCTGGGTGAGCTTGAGTGATGGAACAAGTGTGACATGTCTTCCATTTGCACGCTGTGTTCTTCCTGTTGTGTTGAGCTCTTGAGCTCCAGCCCTAAGTGAGGATGCAAGGAACAGGTTTAGATTGGAAGTGCAGTGCAAAGGGCTGGAGCCAGCAGGAGCAGGGATGTGATCATCCCCCTGTGCTCAGCTCTGGTGAGTCCTCACCTTGAGTGCTGTGCTCAGTTCTGGGTCCCTGACTACAAGAAGGACACTGAATCCCGGAGATATTGCCAGAGAAGAGCAGTGAAGCTGTGAGGAGTGTAGAGCACCAGTCTTATGGGGAGCGGCTGGCTGAGAGAACTGGGATTATTTAGCCTGGAGAAGAGGAGGCTCAGGGCAGACCTCATCCCTCTCTACGATGAGCTGAAGAGAGGTCATGTCGAGGTGGGGGTCGTCCTCTTCTCCCGTGTAAGTAGTGATAGGACTGGAGGGAACGGCCTCAAGTTGCACGGGGGGAGATTGAGGTTGGATGTTAAGAAACACTTCTCCAAGGAGTGCCCAGGGAGGTGATGGAGTTACTGTCCCTGCAGATGTTCAAGAAACGTTAGATATGGCAGTGAGGGACGTGGCTTAGTGGGGAATATTGGTGGTAGGTAGACGGTTGGACTGGATGATCTTGGAGATCTTTTGCAAGCTTGCTAATTCTATGATTCTGTGAAAGGCATCTGCTGGTGAGTGCTTTGGTGGGTGAGCATCAGGCTGCTGGACAGCAGGCAGCTGTTGTCTGTGCAGACAGCCACATCCATGGGGAGTGGAGGCTTTTTCACCTTAACCTTGTCTTTCATGTCTCACATGCAGTAAGTCCTGTTGTTACAAACAGCATCTTGGGGGCAACCTTGATTTCTGCAGCCCCGAGCTTTGGCACGAGAGCTCTCCGCCATGCTTCTCCCTGTGATGTGTGAGCGTATGGAAGGCCTCGCAGAAGCCTGGCTAGGTGATGGCAGTCGCTCCTCCTTTCCCCCCCGATGCTGGAAATAGCGTGGAACGGGACAGGGGGACATCCCAGCCGTGGGCTCCTCTCAGCAGGACTGAGCGGCTGTTCTGATCCTCGTGTTTGAACTTGAGGGAATCTGATGCTAAGTAGAGAAAGGAGGGGCTTGTTAATGAAGAAAAAAAGACTGTGTCGCATCTTGTGGTGCAGGATGTTGTCCGAACTGCTGCTAACAGTGGCCAGGATGCTCCCTTTTTGATGGGGAGAGGTTTAGCAGGGATTTCTTAAATGAAAATAGTTTGTCGTGTAATTTCCTTTTCATCGACCTTTCATGCTACTTCTTGATAAGTTATCTTTGGATTATGAATCAATATTTATTACTGAAGAGAATTGAAGAGAATATGTACGCACCCTGCGCCTTCATCTGCACCAAGAATCTTCTAAACATCTTTGCACTGTTTCTTTTTGGCCCTGAGATGAAGCTGTGTGCAATATGGGCTTGGATGCATTTTCAGTCAGGTGCAGGACACGTAACACTCATCTGAGTGGTCATGCTGACAAGAGCAGCAGAGTAGTAAATTTTTCAGGGTTGCGTGCTTTACTTTACTTTTTTTTTTTCCCCTCCAGTCATAACCATGGAACCACAGAAGTGGCTTCTGCAGGATTGGGCTGAGGTAGAATTCCAACCGCCCGCTGATTCTAGAATGTTGGGTGTTGGAATCTTCTGGTCCTGTGACATGGTCTTGCCTCCCCACCCTGTTGTCATGGCGGAGCAGCCTGGTGGCCCTTAGTGATGTCACAAGAGGCTGGAATGAGGGGAGGAGCAGTGCGTGCTGCGTCCCTTCATTGGAGCGCTTGAGCTCTGCGTGAGTAGCTCGCTTGTTGCCCTTGTGCAGCGACTGAGTGCCTTCGTTTTCACCCCGTCTTGTGCAGCATCTTGTAGGTAAGCTGAGACAGGGCGTGGGATGGACGGGTGGGCAGTGAGCTGTTGAAAACTGCTGGCTGGTGGAGCTCCTGGCAGCTCATACTGCTTACTCTTGTCCATCAGACGTAACTTTCACCCAGTACCTGCATTCCCAAGCGATCCACAAAGATGGCATTTGTCCCATGGCTTTTCCCTTGTTATCTTTGCTCCATTGTGCAAGCTCACAGACCTGTTCCTTCTCTCTCCTCTGCCTGCTCCCTTGGTGCAGCTTTTGCTCGTGGAAGAACAGAACAAAGTGACAAGGAACGGCTGCGGGTTCAAGAAACTTGTCTACCTTGTTCTGATCTCCTGCCAGGTACATGCCACGCTTTGTCCCCCCACACGGTGCGATACGGGCTGCTAAACCATGTTTGGTAACACAGCCTCATCCAGCTTTGATGGGACACTGGTCCCTTGTGGGTTTTTTCCACTTCCCCTGCAACTCCGCCCTCAGAAGGATGTGGTGCTGTGACCAGCTGGTCTGAAGGAAACCAATCCCTTAGGCAAAGAGTGCTAGCCCCAGTTTGTGCAGAGCTGCACAGCATGACCCAGGGACACAAGCACGTGCGCTTTGGCTGCGTGAGTGTGCCCGGCAGCTGTGGGGAGCACAGCAGAGATGTGAGCAGAGGAAATCCATGTGCGAGGCTGCGGCCGGCACTGGACGTGAGGCTGGTGGGAGCCGGGGGCTGGGGAGCAGATCCACCCCCAGCAGTGACTCCTCTCACTGCCCTGCTGCTGCGCTGTTGGAGTGCTCTGAGCAAGTGCACCTGCTGCTGTGCCAGTCCCCATCTGCTAGCAGAGGGATAGCTGCTTGGTCAAATGCTGCCTCGTAGGCTGTCTCGTTTGATTTGACTGAACAAAGTGGCTGTTTCTAGAACACCTGCCTATGCCAGTGGGTAACTGAGGGTAGTTCTGAAGAAGTCTCTCCATTCTGTGGTGTGTGAAGAGAGAAAATATGAGTGTGTTTCTTTTCATTCCAGCTTGTCGTGCCTGCTGTGATGGGCGTCGCGTGCAGTGAGATCAGCTGTGGGCCTGACATGGCACGTGTGGAGGTAGAGTATGAAGCTCTGATTGATCTTTGTTCCCTGACTTGAGCCAGCAGTGAGCCGCAGATGCGCTCTCCTGCTTTTCAAGGGAGGCAGAGTCCTTCCTGCTCTATCGTTGTCACTGAAAAGCTGCCTTAAAAGCTTCATGTCCTTGCGGCGGGCATCTAGATGGCCGTGGAAGTCATAGTACCAACAGAATCAGATGCGGTGTTATAAACGTGCAGAAGCTTTTTCTGCATCCTGCCTGGATGTTGTCACCCAAAGACAAAGTGTTGTTCTCATATTCAGCAAGTTCAAGGAAGCTGGCACTTGTAGTGAGCCAAGGATTGGGTCAGTGGCCCAGCTGCTGTGTCCAGTCCACGGCTGAGGTCTCCAGGCAACGAGTGACAGGAAGTGAGTAGACTCTTACGCTCCTCTTTGGGAAGGCAGTAGTGCAAGCGTGGCAAGTTTATGAAACTGCCGGAGCCGTCTCGGTTGTGGAGTTTGTCCTCTTAGTCTGGGTAGAGAGATATGCATCTTTGCACTGCCTGGCGATAGTGCTGCGCGCCGGGAAGAGAAACAGCTGTTATTAGACTTGCAGTTTCTTGTTAAGCGCTCGTGATAAGGACCGAGTGCATTTCCTGCAGCCTTCTCTGCCGATGTGCTCCTCACCCTGAAATCCTCCTTGCAGCCCTCAGCTCCTCACCATGGCCTGTGCTCTCTGTTTCAGACTGAGAATAATGGGAAGCCCCTGCTGGTCCGTGAGGAGTCATCTCTTAATATTCCAGCTATTGGTGCTGCCCATGTTCTCAAGAGATACGTTGCCCAGGCACCGGATGAACTCTCCTTGGAGGTAAGCAGTTAAAGGTGTTCCTAGTTGTCGTGTACAGAAGAGTACAAGGCGTGAACGCATCAGGAATATTCTCAGACACCTGCAGAATGTTTGGTGAGGTGAAGCCCAGAAGATGCGGTTCCAGATTAGACTTGCACTGGGTTGGATGCAGGGAGGAGTTCAGCCATCTCTAAACTATGGCTCTATTTGGCATTTGGATCTTCTGATCCAAGAGCTACTGCCCAGTGTGGTAGCCTGGTCTCTGAGCAATGGCAGAGCAGTGTATGGAGTGTGCAGATCTGTTCAGGCTCTGTTTGGCTGACTTATGCCTGCGGTTTAATTGGAGCTCTCCCTTTGGCAAAGAGCCTGCTGCTTCTGAGAACCATTTCATACTGAACAGCTGAATTCTGTATGTTGTGTATTGTAGTGACTCTACTACCTCCACGTTCAGTTGTACGACTGCAAATGCCTGAAGAGCTGCACTGGTGTAATGGCTCTCTAGCTTGACGATATTGGGCAGTGCAGAAGAATGCAGTCATTTGAGCTGCGCTCTCCTCCCAGCTGTGCTGAAGCTGGGATTGACGTTGCAATCTCTTGCAGGTGGGAGACCTCGTGTGCGTCATCGATATGCCGCCTCAGGAGCTGAGCCCCCGCTGGAGAGGCAAGCACGGCTTTCAGGTAGGCCCAAGCTTCAGACGTGAGAGCGCAACTTCGGTCGAGGCAGGAATCTCGGCTTAGAGCTGCCCTGCCTGCACAGCATGGCTCCAGATGGAAAATGGTTTCCCTGTGCTGGTGTCAGAGGACTTTCCCTTTTGCTGTGGGCTTAGGCCAGAGCTGAAAGTTGGTCTTTGTAGGAAACTGCCTCCTCAGTTAACTTAGAAAGAAGAGCCCTCACAGCATGCATCAGGTCACGGCCACTGAACCGCACCTTTGGAAATGCAGCAGCTAGGACATGTGTTTCAGTGTCTCTGAGCACTTGTGCTTGCACCCATGCAGAAGGTGAAGTCAGTGTCTTTTAGGAAGTCGCTGCCTGTCAGCTGAGATGAGGCAGGGTAACAGAGCCTCCGCGTGCTTGCTGCTGCTGCTGGCTGCAGAACGCTGGGTAGCTCAGAGCTGGGGATGGCAGCTGCATCTCAGTCAGCAAGCAGAAAGTTCATAGGCTGTGCTAACTCAGATCTAGCTGCATCAATCTATCATAATATATAGCTTCTGTATGAAGTCTTTCCCTTTGGGCACGCTTGAGATTTAGGGGTGCATAGCATACTTGTCCTTTCCCCGCTCCATACACAGTTTTATGGATATTTGCCTGCCAATTTGGAATAATTATTAATTTTAAGCAGGCCATTTTTTGGTTGGATTGTCTTACGGAGCATCCGGCAGGCACGTTATGAGGAAAATGTGATGTTTGAACAGTTCAGGCCTGAGAAACGCTGCCTTCAGAATCGCACCTCTCTTCTTCTTGTTACAGGTTGGATTTTTCCCTGGTGAGTGTGTGGAGCTCATTAACGGAAAAATCCCGGAGTCTCTCATCAATTCAGTGCCAAAGCCAGGTACGATGAGACATTTGATGGTGCAGGGAAGCTAAATGGAGTCTTTTTTGGGTGTGTTCCGTGTTTAATACCTCCCTTATCCTTCCCACCTTATCCTCTGTGCTGATGATCCTTCCTGCATAGCACGGGGCGTATGGCTGGTGTTTTGTAGGCAGTGAGAATGAGAGAAGGCAAAGGCAGTTCTCCTGCAAGTCAGTACGAGGCTGAGAACAGCCAGCATCCCTGGTGGACAGATAGAGGTCTGGCTGTGCTAGTGCTTCTGTGCTTGATCAGAGCGTGGCTTTTCAAGAGGGTCCTTAATGCCCAGGTTGAGCAAGCTAAGCAAGAGGAGTGCATTCAACTCCATCAGAACGTGCAGAGATTTGGCCCAGTCCTCCTGTGTTTATGACTGGAATTGGGGAAATCCTAGAATCCTTGTAGAATGGTTTGGGATGGAAGGCAGCTCAAGGATCATCAAGCTCCAAGCCCCCTGCCTCAAGCTGGGCTGCCAACCAAGCTCCACGTTTAATGTGAAACTGGACCAGGCTGCCCAGGGCCCCATCCAGTCTGGCCTTGGACTCCTCCAGGCTTGGGGAAAATCCATTTTGGTACGCACTTGCTCATCATGTTCTTCCCGTTTTGACGTGCTTTGTAGAATGTGTTGTGCTCGGCCTCGTCCAACGGAGCCAAGCCTAAAACGAACTGGTTTCTTCCTTTTGTTGTGCAGTGCCAAAGAAGCGCGGCAAGCTCCTCACCTTCCTTCGTTCCGTGGTGAAGGCCCGCCCAAAGCAACGGAAAGAGCGGGAGGTGGAGAAGGAGAGGGTGTTTGGCCGTGACCTGGGAGAGCATCTTCTCCACTCTGGTCGTGATGGTAAGGGACAGCCCATTCCTGAGAGCTTCCCTGTTTGGGGACCTAGAGATGAAAGGGAGATTGTATCTAGCAAGGGGCAGGTTGATACCAGTGGAGAAACAGGGAATGGGAGTTGAGGACTGAAAGATGAACTGAGTAGGTGATGGCTGCAAGGTAAATGCTCCTAAGGGACAAGCACATTTGTATTTGCTTAAAGCAAAGCCTGTAAGCCAACCCCATGGTAGCCTGAAAAGAAAGGAAGCCTTTTGGCCAAAGAGAGTGTCCTGCATCAGTTTCCCAGCTCCTTCCGGGCGTGAGATTTTCCACCTCCGTTCCCGTGGGAGCTGTGATGGGACTTGCAATGTCTGCGGCTTCCCTGGAATGACTTTCTCCAGGCTGATTCCTAGGTCCTGGCATTTCTGGAATGCAAGGAACACATCTCTGTCCAGTTTCCTCACCAGCTCCTGCAGAGGTGTCTCTGACAGCTGTCCCCTTCAAGGAAGAACTGAGCAGTAGCCTGGCTGGGTTTAGTGGATGGGATGTGACAGGAGCGCAGCCTGAGGCAGGACTTGACTAAGGAGCTCCAGTAACCGCCGGCACGTGTTCTTTAGTCCCCCAGGTCCTCCAGAGCTGCGCCGAGTTCATCGAGCAGCATGGCGTGGTGCAGGGGATATACCGCCTGTCCGGCGTGGCGTCCAACGTCCAGAGACTGCGGTAAGAGTGCTGCGACTGACAGACACAGCTGCCAGCAGGGGCACGTGCCCTGTTGAGGGCGTTCAGAGGCCTGCGGGCAATGCCTTAGCACCAAGAGAAGGTCTCCTGTGGGAACATCCCATCCAGCACGGCTGACGTGGTGCTGGTGGCCGATTGTTTGTGTTCTCCTGTACATCAGGAAGCCCTTCCAATTCTTGATTGCATTGGGTGTGGCTTTTGACTTGCTTTCCTCTTTCT